TCTCCCCGCGCCTCTCTCCGTGTGTATAATTCTCCCTGCCTCTGTCTCCTCTCCGTAGCTCTGTCTCCCCGTGTTTTGTGAAATCGTTGAATCATACGAATTAAACCAAGAACAACTCCCACAGAGTTAGGGGTCCCTCGCCCCCTCCCGTCCTGCCCTTCCTCTGTCGTGGATGAACCCGCGAGCCTCGGCGTTCGCGTGCCCCGCGGGTGATGGTGGTTGCAGATAGTGGTGGTGGTTGCGGGTGTAGTGGTTGCTCATGGTGGTTGGGGTGGTGGTTGCGCATGGTGGTGGTGGTTGCGGGTGGTGGTAGTGGTGGTTGTGAATGGCCCCGCGCTGCGCTCGGCTCGGCGCCGCGTCAATGCGAGCGCGCGCGGTGAGATCCTGGAGCGCGCACGGCTCCCCTCCCCATGCGATTGCGCCTCCTGACCCCCCCCCACCATCCCTTCTAAGCTTGGCCCCCCAATATTTACTCTGCTTCAGCTCTGCTCCCTTTCTCTTCTTATGTTTTCTCGTGTGCGCTCGGCCTCCTTATCGCTCCACCCTGACCCTTCCTCCTGATCCACCCTGCACCCCCCACCTTTGTACCCCCGCTGTCCCCCCGGTTTCTGCGCACCCCCCACCCCCCACCCCAACCAGATAATGTAGCTGAGTGTCGCGCCCCGCGCGCTGCTCCTACCGTGAATGAATGAACGCATTAACGCGGCTCCCGCAGTCACAACACCCGCTCCATCTTCATAAGGGAGGCGCGAGGGGGTGCCGGTGCGGGGGAGAGGGATCGCGGTGAAACGGAGAGAGACAAACACAGAGGCAGACAGAGACAGAGAGAGACAGAGCAGACACACGAGCGGCCTTGGTGAGCTCCCTGGCGGGGAAGAGGGTGAGGAGGAGGTGGAGGATGAGGGGCCGAGGCTGGATTGAGGGGAGGGGTTAGGGCTCCGAAAAGGAGGGGGTGAGGGAAGGCCGCTCCCCTCTCCTGGTAGCCTCCTCCACTCACCTCCTCCTCGCACCTCCTCCTCGCTACCGGGTTTCCAACCGATGCACTACTGTGGGAATCCAGAACGCTGCTCCGAGAATCCGTATTTGCTTTATACAACATGAAACGTGCTTATAGAATCGTAGAATAGAACATGGTAATATATATTTTTTACGGGTAAGTTTTAACTTGCACATTGTACTATAGTTGTAGTGCCTTACGCCGACAATCCCCACTCCAAGCCAAGCCGATCATTTGCGAATCCGAGTCGCCAGATCTGCGATTAGAAACGGTGGACGAGGGGGGTGCTATTGGGACCCCTCCCACAACTCCGACTGCCACAGGTCTTGATCCCCCGTTCCTGATCCTGAATCTATGAGTTATGGTGAATAGGTGAGTTGGTGAACATGGCGAAGGTGGTGAGGATAATGGTGGTGAGCGGGGGGAGTTATGGTGGTAAACGGGTGACCACGGCGAGGGCGATGAGGTGTTGAGGGTGGTGAGTGGGTGAAGGTGCGGAGAGGGTGAGAGTGGTGAGGCAGTGAGGGTCGTGAGAAAGAGGGCGGCGAGGCAGTGAGGGTGCTGAGGAGATGAGGGTGTTGAGGGGGTGATAAAGAGGTGACCGTGCCGAGTGGGTGAGTATGGTGAGTGTGGTGAGTGGGGGAGGGAATGAGGGTGGTGCGAGGGTGGGGGTGGTGAGGGTATTGAGGGGGTAAGCGTGGTGAGAGGGTGATCATGACTCACTTGTCAATCAGAACGTATCAACACCATTGATCGCAACGCGTCCGTGTGTGTTGCGTTTCCCTAGTTCTCCATTTATCTCTCCTTCCCTCTCCCCTATCTCCAGGCAGCCCCTGCTGGGGGATCCAATGCGCAAGTCAGCCTCGCTCTCCCTTTTCTCTCCAACACTCTACCCCCCTCTCTCGAACTCTCCCGTCTCATCCCTCCTTCTCCCGCACTCTCCATCCCCTCCTCCTACCCCCCCCCCAGCCCTCCCCCTCCCTCCTTCCCCCGGCCCCCGTGACCCCGGCCCTGACCACGGAACCGCACGGGGAAGTTTGACCCCGTGGGTGGGGGGTGATGGGTGAGGAGAGGGGTGAGGGTCGGGGTTAGAGGGTGAGGGGAGGGGCCAGGGAGGGGCGAGAGGGTAAGGAGACGGGTGAGAGGGTGAGGGGAGGGGTGAGGAGAGAGGTGAGAGGGTGAGGGGTGGGGTGAGGAGAGAGGAGGGAAGAGAGGGCGAGGGGAGGGGTGAGGGGGCGCGTGCCGTGCGCCGCCGCCGCGGTGATTAAAGAGCGGTGCGCAGAGTGGAGGCGCGCGGAGACGAGCACGAATACACACCCCTATAAAGACAAAGATCCCCCACTAGCCTTAACAGACTGTTGGGGCAAGAGCTGTTATCGAGAACACATGAAGGCCGACACAGCACACGAGGGGCTGGGTGGTCAGCACCACGCCCGACCGCCGCTGTCTCTCTAGGGACGATGTTTACACAACGCACTGGGACTAATGTTAGGCGACGTAGAGGAGGCTCAGGACTGGTCCAGATAATCGTCATTGGTGTTGTCACTATCGTGAGCGGGAATCTAACTCGTAGCTCAGCACGCTAATCACTACACACCCGTACACACACACACGTCTCTACACTCCATTCAAACACCAAACGCACACGTGCACATACACACATACACATATACACACACCGCCACGACTCACCTCCCACACACGCCCCTCCCATACCCACGAACACACCACCACACGCGGCCCAGCCATCCGCGCCTCCCTTATCCGCAAGCTCTACCGAGGAATTGCGGGGGGCTCAGAGGGGATACTTGGGGAACTGATGGGGTGGGGGGCACAAGGGTCACGGGGAGGGGGGGGGGGCGATCACTCGGTGCAGAGGCTCCCGCGGGGCTCGCGGGCCAGAGTCGCGGCGAGAAGCCGTTACCAGGGAAACGGAGCATCACTCGCAGGAGCGGTGCGGGTGGGTGGGGGGCTGTGCGGGTGGGTGGGGGGGGCTGTGTGGGTGGGTGGCACGCGTGACACGTGAAACACGCGTGGGTCGCACGTGCCAGTGGTTCACACACTGCGCTTCGAACCTGGCCATCTGAGTTCGATTCCCGGCCACGACCAACATCATTGGCGAGTAATATCCCCGAACCAGCCATGGCCTCCCCTAGGTTCGCTTAGCCTTAAATGAGTACCTAGTGCGGTGCGTGAACATCAGCTCTGGGGAGACAAAGGCGACGACTGGGCGAGGTTCTAACCACGCCACCACCTCGTGCGCCGTGTCGGCCTTCACAGGTGCTGCTCGCTACCAGGCATGACTCGCTCCGGCATGCTGTGTGCGTGGGTTTCCTCTGGGAACTTTGAGAAGACTGCACTGGAACTACTCAACAAGACGTGAGAAACGTTTACAAGCACGCCCCTCTCGACAAAGGGTCTTGAGACTTACTGAGATTTTTCCTGGAAAAATTAAGGATTGTGATGATATCCATTGGTAGGAGAGGAAGGACAGGGCGGAGGAAGAGAGAGGGCAGAGAGGGAGGGAGGAGAGGGGCAGGGGGTCGTGGTCCCGCGCCGTCGCGGCTCTCTGCCGCCCCCTGGCGCCCGCGACCCCGCGCCTCGGCTCACTCGCCCGCCCTCTTGATGGCTCCTTGCGCCCCCGAGGTGCCTCTAAGAGTACATTGTCTATACCCTGCGTCCCCTATATCCCATAGACCCCTCTCTCGCTGTGCATCAACGCCTCGTTTTATCTCCCTGTGTTGGAGTGTTTGCTATTCAGTGGCCTGAAATAAAATGTTTCGCTCCGGATGATCGCTGCAAAGTATGATATATGTTTTGATTTAGTGTGCTGATCTTAAAGGTGCATTGAAAAATGTTGATACTCCGACTGATGCTCCTGCTGCTGTGGAGTGACTCATGCAGCCAGCTATGGCTGCAGGGTTTGGTGGTACATGTTGTTTAAGTCGTTTATTGTGAAAATTTGGTCACAGTTCCTATGATCACTGTTACATTGCTTATGGCTTTATTTTGGTGATTTTCGAAAACTTTTTTGGTTTAGCCATGTTTGTTTGTTGTAGTACGAAAGTTAGACTGATGGCCTTAATCTAAGTTGTCTTGTGGTTGTTGTTTGACTTGCATCCCACTGGGATGTTTGCACACAGTGTGGGTGTACGGTGTTTTTTCTGCAATATTTTGCTGTCTTTTCTTGGATTTGCTGTTTGCACTTAGTCACATAGTCACTTTAAGACGTTTTCTTGTTCATGTTTTTGTTCTTTGTTTGTTGCGGTTGCACCCGATTCAAGAGCCGATTGGCTCACAGGGCTATGCCTAATACATGAACTTGAACTTGAGTCTCCGTTTCTCTTTCTGTCTCGATGTTGCCCCCTCGTGTCGTGTCCTGGGGTTGCATCTGTTTACTGAAAATTACCCTCACGCGATGGTCACGGAGGGTAATTAATGTGGCCATTAAATTCGCCCCGGAATGCGGCCCGATCGCATCAGATCCTCAAAGCTAAGCAGGCGTTCAGCCTGGATAGTACTTGTGATCGGCTTCCACTCTGCACTGTCGAGAAATGCAATGTGGCACTGTACTTCCCTGCCACGTCGATACACCCCGCCTGAAGCAAACCCGCGCCGAGGCGGCGTGGTGAAGTATGGCCAGGTGACGCGCACTCAGCCCAAAGCCGGAATCAGCCCATCATCGTCGCCATCTCTTTCTGGTCGATAAAAGCCCTTCCACCGTTTATCAATCGTGGCTGTGTCGAGTGGAGTTTACACCACTGTCTCGTGGTGAGGAGGGGGAGCGAGGATCTCTAATTGTTGTTGGGGCGATGCGGCTACCGGTCAAAGCTTTGCTAAGCCAATTGAGTTACCGGTGCTCGCGTTGCTAGGGCCACAATGTTGTTGTCGTTGACGCGTTGCTAGGGAGATGGCGCCGACCGACGGCACGCGGGCAGGGTCCAGGTGGGTGCAGGTGAGCAGGTGGGGGCCAGGGGCGGGGCCAGGGGCGGGGCCACGCCCCGTGGTCACGTGGTCCAGCACCCCCACCCCCCACCCGCCATTTCGGACCCCCCGGGGCCGCTCCTCGCTCCGTCTCCCCGCTCCGTCTCCCCGCGACAGCTGCTCCGCCATGGCGCACATCGACGAGAACCCCTTCGCGGACCCCGTTCTCAACCACCCCTTCCAGGTACGGGATACCCCCTATGGTCGCGCGGGTTCTTGAGACCGCGTCGCGCTGGGGAATCGTTCTCGCCCGGTTGCGCTGCGGGGAACAGCGCCTTCCGGGCGGCAGCCGAGGCAGGCTGAGGGTGGTGCGGGTCTCGAGGCCGCGGGCGGAATGCGGAACTGTGGAGCGAGGGCTGCGACTGAAGGAACCTCGGGCAGGGGACCCGGGCGAGGGGATCTGTGGGCCCCAGGCAAGGAGGTCCGGGCTTGGCAGTGGGCTGGAGGCTTTGGGAGAGAGAGGCCTGGGCCTGGAAGAGGGGGCAGTGAGTGAGTGAGTGTGACGGGGTGGTGTGTTTACAGAGTGGGGTGTCTGACAGGGCGCTTCCGTGAGACGGGGGGGGGGGGGATGAATGTCGCCAGTGGGGAGACAAACACGGCCGGGGCGGCACATGGCACAGCAGCCCTCGTGTTCCGTTCGTCCGTAATAATTGCTCAGCATTTTGCCAAACGATATTTGTAGGATTGGTCGTGAGTGATAAGGTGGCGTGTGTGTGTTTGGGTGAGATAAGGTGGCGTGTGTGTGTTGTGTGATGGTGTGGTTTAGGGTAAGGTATGCGAAAAGTCGTAGTGTGACGGGGGAGGGTGTGCAATAAGATGGCATTATGTGTGGAAGATGCTTTAGTGGGTGTGTGTGTAGGGGTGTTTCAGCGACTGGTGACGTGGAGCTCTGAGGGATGGGTGTGCTATGGGTGTGCTATGCGCCTGTTGTGTATAATAGGGGATCGTCAACAGCACTCGTTTGACAACTCGAGCTTAAATGGGGAACTTGCTCTTTTGTGTGCAACATTATGTCGTGGCGAGGCCTGTGTGGGATGTGTGCGAGCCTCCCCTAAGTTAACTCATCCTCACGTGAATCCTCGGCAGGGTGTGCAAACATCGCCACTGGGGAGACAGAGCCACCCCCCCCCCCCCCCCAGGTGCAGCAGGCCACCCGCCCTCCCTCGTGTGCCGTGCCGGCCCTCATGGGGGCTCGCTACCAGCACTTGCCCCAATTGTCAGTTAAGGCTATACGGGGGCTCTTTGTATTTGTGTGTTGGCGTGTTGTGTTTGTGTCACGTTTGTCCATGTCTGTGGGTGTGTTTGGGAAAGTGTGCGTAAGTATGTTACTGATTTTTTTGCGTATTGGTGAATGTTTGTGTAATTGTAAAAGTGTTTATTATGTGTGGGCGTGGTATTGTTTTTGTTGCAGCGAGGGCATGGGTGAGTCACTCTGTTTTGGGGACACGGGTTAGAGTGTCGGAGTGCGTCTTAGTTTTTCTTCTTGAGTGTGCCGACGTTTTTAGTGTGTAAGTGTGTTTGTGTGTTGGTTATATTTGAGTTTAACACTGTCTGTGTCAATGTAAGTTGGTGTGTCTGGGCATGTTTCCATGAGTATGTTAGTGCTTATGTGTTTTGAGTGCACTGCCTTTCATGGCTTGCTAGGCAGATGGAATGTTTTTGTCCATGCGTGTCAGGGTGTCTTACGTGTATGTTAATGTGTTATTGAGTGTGTTAGTGTGTCCGTGTGTATGGGCGTGTGAGTGCTGGAGGATGCTCAGCGATGCGTCTCGTTGCTAGGACCCTGCTGTGACCCAGGTGACCGACTCCTCCAACCGAGGCCTCACAGAGTACAACCCCTTCGCCTCTGATGACTTCGGCCGACAGGTGAAACCCGCATCAGCTATCCCCGCTATCCCATCGGCTCGCGGTGACCCCAGTGGGACCCCCTCATCTAAACCATGGTGAGAGGGGGACTCCCAGTGAGACGAGGCCCTTGAGACAACAACGGGGAATGCCCCTGGATCTGCCACAGTGCCGGTAACCCTGGGCAACCTCCCGTCTCTGGCTACCGTGCCCAGAAACAAGTCCCGAGTGTAACCGGGAGTGCGGGTAACCGAGGTAACCTGGTGTCCTGCCCTGGCAATTGCAGTGATTTGCCGTGGTGATGGCTTTTGATGGAAATTGTAGGGCAATGTGGCCCATCGTTGGTGAGGGTCATGATGATGAGAGTAGTGGTGATAGTGTGGATGATAGACAGGGTTATGGTGCAGGTGAGGGTAATGGTGAGAGTGGTGGTGATAGTGTGGATGATAGACAGGGTTATGGTGCAGGTGAAGGTAATGGTGAGAGTGGTGGTGATAGTGTGGATGATAGACAGGGTTATGGTGCAGGTGAGGGTAATGGTGAGAGTGGTGGTGATAGTGTGGATGATAGACAGGGTTATGGTGCAGGTGAAGGTAATGGTGAGAGTGGTGGTGATAGTGTGGATGATAGACAGGGTTATGGTGCAGGTGAGGGTAATGGTGAGAGTGGTGGTGGTGATAGTGTGGATGATGGACAGGGTTATGGTGCAGCTGAGGGTAATGGTGAGAGTGGTGGTGATAGTGTGGATGATAGACAGGGTTATGGTGCAGGTGAGGGTAATGGTGAGAGTGGTGGTGGTGATAGTGTGGATGATGGACAGGGTTATGGTGCAGCTGAGGGTAATGGTGAGAGTGGTGGTGATAGTGTGGATGATAGACAAGGTTATGGTGCAGGTGAGGGTAATGGTGAGAGTGACGGTTTTGGCATAGCAGTGACCGTTTCTTTTCGGCTGCGATGGCCATGGATGAGGAGGCCACAGGACCCGGAGAAGCAGCTGAGCTGGGGTGGTGAATTTCCAGTGCAACACAATCCAAAAACCACACGGTTCTCATCTTGTAGCTACACACGCACAGGCTCCATGAGCTTGAAAAACATTACTTTAAACTTCCAAAAGATGCCATCCCTTCAGTACCCAGGCCACTCTTGCAACTGAGATGCTCTTCCTGGTCCATTGGGTTATAAACTAGTTGAAATTTTTTAAGTTGAATTGATGTGAGGGTGACGTGTGATCTGTGGATTTCAACATCAATGCGTTGATGTCACTGAAGCTTGTGCTCTGCTTGTGCAATCAACCTCTCCTTTCAAGACTTTTTAAAACATCTTCAAACGAAGGTTTACAGCAGTGTCAGTGCAGCCTGGAGCGCACAGCCTAGGTGTGTAAATACCAAACATTTTTGGGTTCTGAGATTGAATCTTGGTCTTGCTCCTTTGCCCCTTGGCCCAGCATCAACAGCGGACGGTAGCTGTAAAGACTTACACAGCTGCTGCTCGGAAAAAAAATCTGCAGCCAATCCAAAATTTTGTTTGGGGGCCTTAGAGGCCCTCGTAGCAATGTGCACGGTAAAGGGCACGACATACCCATGCGTGTGGACAGGAAGGCGGAGCGAGAGAGATAGGAGTAGGGGTTGTGATTGGCTGACGAGTGACGTCCCGGCCCGCCTGACCCCACCGGCAGTGCTGTCACCTGTGAGGGGGGTGGTGTAATTGATGGGGGAGGGGAGGAGATGGGGCAGGGAGTGGCGAGTCACCGCTCGTGCCACGTGGCACCACTCCCCACCGCAACCACCTCCCGCTCACCTCGTTCTCCGCCCTGGATCCTCACCCCGTTCCCCCTCAGCACCACGGCACGACCCCTGTGCTTTCTGTGCCATTCATTTCCGTGTCTATCTCAGTCACAGTATAAATGTTTCTGTGAATGTCACGTGATCAGGCGAAGACTTGTCTAAGTTAAAACATAGGTGCTTAAGGAAGCTCGAAGTAGTTTGATCTAAATCTCGAATGCTGACGTCAAATTGAGCCATAGACAATCTTCAGCCACCATTGGAGGAGTTTTATTAATCAGAATTGTATCAATACATTGGCACTTGTAAATTATATATCTGTAAAAGTGACAATCTAGTTGGGTGGTGGAGGAGTAATGGGAAGGATTTTCCCATAAAGCTCCCACTACGCGGCCCAACCCAAAATATGGGTGCAAAACATATGTCCCTTCGGAGCCCTCGCAGCAAGCAGTGCACCACCTCGCACTTGCCAATCCAACCGATGGTAGTAGTGGTTAAGCGGCGTGCTGCCGATCTCCAAACCCATTTTATCGCTTACCGATTTCCAAAGCAAAACTTGTCAGTATATTTTTACTTTATTAAATGAGAGCAGCAACATTTGCCTAAAAAAATCGGTATGTAGTTTAAAGGTGGGATTACAACCCGGCAAGGCACTGCTTTGTATATCAGAGAGGCTAGCGAATGTTTTTTATTTATTCGGTGAGGTAGGACATCTCGTTGTGTAAGGGTGTCCAAGGTGTCGATTGTCACGTACAAAGCAAACGCGTGATGGCGTGATGACGACGCGTGTGTTAAACCTATAACTTACGCCCTGTGCATTTACACAATGGGTAAACTATGCCACGTGGTGTGAGAGAACAGCATCAGCCCCAGAGAGCACTACAGAACTATTTTAGAAGTCTGCTCACTTGCCTCTCATCCACACGGATAAAGCTACCAAATAAATTGTTGGACAACACGCATCCTTAACAAAACTGTTCGTTCGCAAAACAAAAAATCTAAAGTATTATTTTACACATCCCATCAGCCACATTGCGATCGGGGAGTTCATAATTTCAGCAGCATCGGTGTAACGCAGGTAAACTCAGGTGATGCTGCATCTGCCAAAGCTGCAGTATCGTCTGCATATTTACGTTGTTACTATATTCTCCATAATGACGCTTCACGATTGTCATCTTCTGATGAAGCTGCTCTGCTGTTTTCCAATCCAGCCAGGCCCGGTCTTGCATGGGATGCGGCCCCCTTACCTGTCCGGGGGGAACACACGTCGCCCCCCTACCCCCCCCCCCCCCCCCCACTTTGTCCCGAGTAGCCCACGTCTCATTGCTCCACATGCACATACGGGAAACCAGACACCGCGGTGTTAGCCGGCGCCAGGCAGAACAACAAAACTCCTTCACTCACAGCGCGTGGACACCATTACGGGAGAAACGGACACACGCAAGTGGGGATGGATTCCGTGATGAAAGCCGAGCTCATGAGGGGTGCCTACCTCGAGCTCATCCCTCCATCCTCGGGGGTCCCGGCCCCCTCACCCGCTCTCCCCGTGAGCTGAGTGGCGTTACTCATACTATCACGGTCCAGTGCTGTCATGGTACCGACTGATAAAAGCACTTTTTTCCCCGAGGGGCAAAGGCTGAAGGTGATGTTGGAGCGGTGATTCATCGCACACCGGCCGGCATGTGCAACTGTGGTGACACCACAGCTTACACAGCCGTGTGTATTTGTGAAGGTGGTGTGTGTTAAGTGTGCCTGCTGTGTGGTTTGTGTAACACCTGTGTGGTACGTGTATTGGGTGCAGCTGTATTCTGAGTGTGTGCAGTGTGGATTTATTACTCTGAGACGAACATCTCTTTTGCAACAATGGGTTTGCAGGTGCCTTCAAATACAGTTCGTCTGCGTGTGTGGATGTGTTCTTGTGCGCATATCCGTGTTGCTATGTGTTCACATACAGTACCGTATACCCGTTTGTGCGTGTGCGCGCATGGCTGTGTATGCGTGCCCGCGTGTACCAATGTGCGCCCACGTGAGTCTGCGTGTTGGCATGTGTCCGGTTGTGTGTCTATGTCCGTCAGCTTGTGCATGGGTCTGCATGTCCACGTGCATCTACGTGTGTGTATGTAAAGCGTCCCTGTGTGTGTGTGTGTGTGCAGATCAACTCCACGGTGCCCGTGGGACCAGCAGGAGCCCCTCCACTGGCATCGCAAACCCAGCCGGCCGTGATGCAGCCCACCGAGGAGCCCCCCACCTTCCCAGCGCAGTTGCCCTCCCAACAGGTGCCCTCCTCCACCCTCGACACATCGCACAGGGAACCTCCTCCCATAGCCCCTCCCATCCACCGTCCTGTCTCATTCCGAGAACGCGTCCCACCGGCCTGGCAGGTTTGCGCCGCCGGCGCCGCAGCCGGTTTTGTTGGCAAAGCAAACGGGCAGAGTCGACGTGAGGACGCAAGTGCCTTCGTGTGTGCGTGCGCGCCGTGGTGGTATGACGTGTGCGTGCATCGTAGCCAGAGGGCGAGGTGAGGCGCCCTTGAGGAGGGAGGGGCTTGGAGCAGTCGTAAACACTGGACAGGACTGGGGCGATGGGGGGCACCTAGCACAGCAACAGGACAAGACAGCACTGCACTGTCAGCACAGCAGCAGGACGGAAAATCACATCGTCGGTACATTTCGTATTCGCGCCATTGTTAAAGCGCAACGCTATTAAGAGAGAATGCAGACACAGGTTGCAGTGAGTTTCCAGTAGAGGGCGGTGGTGGCTCTGTGCTTCCAGTTGAGTTTACTGCACAGAACACAACTGATTGCAGTATCCCCTGCGCATTGGTCAGCATTAAGTTGCGACAATGCTGTGCTAAAACTGTGCCTGGAATCTTGTTTCCCTGCTGCATGATGCCATAGTACAGGGAGGTGCTGAACCCTGCTGTAGCATGGTAAGCGTGCGTGGGCTGCAGGGGCCTTAACGGGGGGGAGGGTTCGTTTTGCTGCTCAGGGAACTACCATGACCAGTGTGATGATCACATGACCACGGGCAGCCAGAACGTCTGACTGCCCCCTGCTGCAAAGGAAACCTCGATTCCTGGACACAGATCTGGGCCCAAGACAGCAGCATGCAACAAATTCAGAGTGGCAGCGCAATGGTGACACTTGTGCCTCGAGGCAAGAAGTTGCTGAGTCCGATGCCTAACTTGGGCGCCATTTTGTGGGCAGTTTGTGTTCTCTCCCCCAGTTCTGCATGGGCTTTCTTTGGGATCTCCCGCTTCCTCCCAAAGCTAACATGAAATACAATGTAACTGGTATTGGCCAAACATCCGAAAGCTGAAAATGTTACCTTACAAATGACTGAACTGGGATTACACACATCAGCATCACTCCCCCCTGTGAAAACCCATCAGGAACCTCGTGAAAAGATGCTTGAGACTCGGCGAGGCTTTTCTGGGTACACAAGTGTAGTAGTAGTAATAATAATACTGTAGCGTGCATGGGGGAAACACACATCCAGATGCAGGTTTCAGGCCAGTGTTGAGACGTCACGGTAGCGGCGTGCGATGGCGGTGCGTGGCGGTGGTGCCGAGTGCCCCCGTGTCTCCGTCTCGCTCATGCGTACAGATGGGCAGTGCCATCACCGCCGATCTGAAGCGCCAGCAGGAGGAGCTAGAGCGGAAGGCGGCCGAGCTGGACCGGCGCGAGCACGAGATGCAGGGGCACAACTACAATGGTGACGTGACACAAGCTCGCGCAACATGTGCACACGACACACCCGCACGTACACGTTCATGCTGAGGAGATGGTGGCACTCTAGTACTCGTCGTCCTGAAGCAATTTGGAATCGGAGCAAACACAATCACCCCGTTGCAAAAGAAATTCAACAGAGTGCACAGACATTATCAGTCTTTATTCAAATAAAATTTCCAGTAACGAAGGTTTGAGGATACATACACGATGCGCACGTGTGCATGACACGCACGTACACACACGCTTGCACTCGCTCATGGGCACTGTGCACGTGACCGTGATTACATTCGTGTGTGTGCGTGCGCTTTCATTCGTGTTTGTGAACAGCACGCAAGAACAACTGGCCACCCCTGCCAGCCAAGTGCCCCGTGGGGCCCTGCTTCTACCAGGACTTTGCAATAGACATTCCTCTCGACTTCCAGCGCACGGTGCGCATCCTCTACTACATGTGGATGTGTGAGTGGCACATGCACCGCCCGCTCATCCAGCCAGCGTCCACCTAGCTGAGCAACACGCCCACTGTTGGCCACCTGCTCGTGCGACGAAGTCTTGATTCAGCTCTTTATGAATATCAGCATTAGAACATCCCACCTCCTAACTTCTGCCAGAAACACCATCCTCTACCTCATACATTCTGCCTCACCCGCTCTCCCTCACCCACCGTCTCTCCGTCTCCTCCTTCCACTGTATCTCTTCCAATCCCTCTCCTTCTTACCCCGAGTCCCTTTAGTTTGTGTGTATCACCGTGCCCCTCCCCTTAACGGCACGCGGTTGGGGGCGCCGTGCCCTCCACTGTGACCCCCTCCCCGATGGTGGTGTTGGAGACAATTGTGACGTTCAAGTGCCTGTTGTTGTGTCCGTGAGATAACGGGATTGAGAGCCACTGCAGGGTGCATCGTGGGGGTCGCTGCTGACCGTGTTGCTGTAGTGATGGGAGAGGTTTTGTTACCATGGCGTCTGACTGTGCCATACTGAGTGAGGGGTGGTTACTGTGGAGAATGCCAATGTTATTTTGGTGAGCAAAAGTGGTGAGATGCTTTCATTAGTGGGTGACAGCGGTGTTTAGGTGGCGAGCAATAACAGTGATGGAGTTGCTATGGTGAGTGGTGGCATTTGCCGTTGTGTGTGATGGTTGTTGTTGCCATGGAGATCTACTGCGTTAAACTCAAATTTGGGCAGTTATGGTTGCCATGGAGAATGATGCTGTCAATGTCGTGGTGATGACGACGACGACGGTGTCCCTTCTCCCCAGTCCACTCCATCACGCTATTCCTCAATGTGCTCGGCTGCCTCGCCTGGTTCATTGTCGACGCCTCCAAGGGCGTGGACTTTGGACTGGCCATTGTGTGGTTCATCGTGTTCACGCCGTGCTCCTTTGTCTGCTGGTATAGGCCGGTCTACAAGGCGTGCAGGTACGTGTCTGGCTCGGTGCGGGGCTCCAGCGTGGCCACGGGGCCCCTTCGCCGCCCTGTTCTCCCTCGCTTTTGGCGGTCGCTTCTCCAATAATGCCACGGTGGCCCCCTGAGCCCAGCGACTCCTTCCGTGCTCTGCTGCTCGCCGAGGCATCCGCCGGCTCGGGCTGCGTTGTCGCCGTCTTTGTGCTGCGTTTTTCACTCTCCGTCTGTGTCTCTCCTCACCTGCCTCCTCCTCTCTCATCGCATCTCCCTTATTTCTGCATTCTCCTGTATTTCCACGCATGGTCTCCTCCTCTTCTTCCTCTTTTATATCCTCCATTACTCATCTTATGCTCTCCTCTCTTCTCCTCCTCTAGTTGCATCCCCCTGTCTCCCCTCCTTTTGTTTCTGCACCCTTCTTCCCTTGTTACGGCCATCTTCCTATCTCCCCCACCTTGCCCTTCCTTTCCTCCTCTTCCCTCCCTCCCCTGCCCCCTGATACCCTGCCCTCTCGGGCCGCAGTTCACGCAGTCACGCTGGTGCTGAACATGCTGGGCTACCTGGTGTACTTCTGCCTCAACCCGAACAAGGGAATCTCCTTTGGCATCTCCATCATGTGGATGATCCTCTTCATCCCCTGCTCCTTCACTTGTTGGTATCGACCCATTTACAAGGGCTTCAGGTAATGCCCGCCTCCCCCCACCCCCCCATACATCTCCTCCCACAGTCTCTCCCCCCCCCGGTCCCCTTGACCGCTCCCACGCGTCTTCTCTCGCTCCTCTTGGGTTGCATTTTGTTATCCTCCGTGGTTGATTCGGGAATTTGCATGCCTCATCTCAAATGCGCTCCCAGCTTCCACGCTCGCGGTGTCTGTGAAGATTGAGAGATTCCTCCGCTGAAAAATCGTGCCAAGGTTACGTGTAGGTTAACGGAGCCAACGAGAATGTCGAAATGAGACTGAATAAACGAGAAACAATACAAACTGGATGGTTAATAAACAAGACCGAAGAATAGATTATTGAGTTAAATCTCCACCCACAATCGTAACAATTTATTTTGCTCAGTCGGTGTTAGCCGATGAGGTCATGACAGGTTTATTTTTTCCTTCCTGTTGCTCTATGCCCCTGTGCCGTTCCCATTATGCTGTAATGTTCACTGCTGCTTCCTTTATTTAGGGCGATATTGGCACATAAAATAAAGATTGATTGATGGAGCCGCTCTTCAGTCGGAAGGTTGCGAGTTCAAATCCTGATTGGGAGGTTGACTTGGCTCATGAACCCTCTGGGGATTGTATAATTAGCACCACGAAGTGGAGAAGTCAACAGTGGTTGCCCACTGGATAGACTCGCCCCGACCAAAGGAATGTGGAATTTTCACAACTGGCTCAGGGCTGTAAATAGGTGGTCAGCACCGCCTCAATGCTTATTTGAACAGGAAATGACTGGCTATGAATAGAATCACGCAGGGTTACTCGGTTATTTATTTGTGCGGCAGGGTAGCGGCATGGTGGTGTAACACAGTGCTGTAACACTTGCCCCTCGTAGCAAGAAGGGACTGTTTTCCGGCTCGGGGACATTTCTACACGGAGTTTGTACATTATCCACCTGGTCTGCATGGGTTTCCTCCGGTTTCTTCCCATAGCTAAAAAATAACATACAATGTAACTGGCATTAGCCAAACATTTACAATGCTTCAAATTACCCTGCAAATGATACATTTTGGATGAATTACACCGCAGCAATATCGCTCCCCACTGTGATCATTTAGCAGGACCCATCTGAACAAGGGGCTTGAGGCTTGGTTCCTCAGTAGAGTGTAAAAATAAAATAAACCGATGTGCATGTCTTGTACGCGGGGACATTACCGATGTGGGCGTGCCTCGTGTTAGCACTCGCGCTTGTCGTTCTCATTCTTGTGGTTCTATTGTTACTTATTTATTTTCCCCGTGCCCCCCTCCCCCCATGTCTCGGCAGGAGTGACAGCTCCTTCAACTTCTTCCTCTTCTTCTTCATATTCTTCGCTCAGTTCGTAGTGCACGTGCTGCAGGCTGTCGGCATCCCAGGCTGGGGAAACTGGTACACAACAACAACAGCCACCATTCGGTGGTGACGTCACCGCAGTGCTTGTGCCAGGATAGGTGCACTTTTAGGCCTTCAAGTGAAATGTGGAAGGCTCACCGCTGCTGGCAGAATGTATTGGAACAGACCTGGGTGTTATGGTTAGACTGACTGGGAGGCCTGCAGATGCATCATCTGTGCTCCCCACTGTGCCACCTCACTTGGTATTAGCAGCACGTCCACAAACTTGGCCATAGCTATCCCAGCCACCTAAGTAAAATTATTGTCTATGACTACATTATTGGCAAGGGGTAACTGATCCTATCATCGACCTTGCATAGGTAGACTCAGCCTTGATTGAGTACTTGGTACGGTGTGTGAGCATCAGCACTGGGGAGACAAAGGCAGCCAGGGATGGTGCTGGCCACCCACCCCCTCATGTGCTTTGCCGGCCTTCATAGATGCTACTCACAGCACTTGCCCCAAAAGTCTGTTTAGGCTACATGGGGGGTCTTTGTGTGTGCCTGTCTTCACCAGTGGATGGATCTCCACGATCGGAGCATTTTCATCGAACATCGCCGTGGGTGTCATACTCTCCATCATCGCCGTCATGTTCACCGCCTCGGCCGCCCTCTCCCTCATCATGCTGAAGAGGGTATGCACCATTCTGTACACACACACATGTATACACAAACACATTCCCATACACTCGTTCCCTTACATACACACAATCACGTGCATACAAAGGCATATACATTCACACACGCACACATCCAAATATATTCATACACATGCACACACTTAACACTCCTGCACCCACACCAGCACAAAATAAGACACGCACACGTGCCCACCCTGACCACACCCTGCACCACATGAGTATTGTGCACACACACGTAAGCACACGCACACCTTCACCCGCGTGTACTGCGAGCTGCCTCCAGTGACATTGCATGTGCGTGTGCCAACATGTGCATGTATCCGTGTGTGTCTTTGTGGGGAGTGGTGGTGTAGTGGTTAGTATGCTGTACTACGAATCTAATTACCCGAGTTCGATTCCCACTCATGGCCACCACCAACACCAGTGACAATTATCTGAACCGGTCCTGGGACTCCCCTAGGTCATCTCAACCTCAAAATGAGTACCTGATATGGTGTGTAAACATGACCACTCGGAAACTGGCCACACTCCCTCCTCGTGCGCCGTACCGGCTTTGATAGGTGCTCGCTAATAGCACTTGCCCCAACAGTCTGTTTAGGCTATATGGGGATCATTGTTTTGTCTTTTTTTTGTCTTTTTTTGTCTGTGTGTGTGCAGGTGCACTCGATGTACCGACGTACAGGCGCCAGCTTTGAGAAGGCGCAGCAGGAGTTTGCACAGGGCGTGTTCACCAACCGCACGGTGCAGAACACGGCAGCCAATGCCGCTGCCGCCTCCCTGCGCGACCCCATGTGATCCTCTCGCCCCTTCGCTCTGCCCCCACACCTGGACCCCCCCTGCCCTCCACTCCCAACGACCCCGACTGCCCCTTCTGGCCCCTGCCGGAGGTCGTGGGGCAGCGGCTGCCGGCATGAAGCTGAGGAAGAGTGTGCGGCACCCCTCCTGGCACGCGGCGTGTTGTTACACTCGCTCGCGCACTCGCACACACCAATCACGCACATCATCTTGGAAACGCACACATGCACAAGCACACACCATCGCACACACAAGCACACACCATCACACACAAGCGAACACCATCGCACATACCATAGCACACACACAAGCACACACTATCGCACACACAAGCACACACCATCGCGCGCACACCATCACACACACAAGCACACCATCACACACACAAGCACACACCATCACACACACACAAGCACACACCATCGCACACACAAGCACACACCATCGTACACACAAGCACACACCATCGCACACCCAAGCACACACCATCACACATGCACAAGCACACCCAAGCACACACCATCACACATGCACAAGCACACACCATCGCACACACAAGCACACACTCGCGCACGTGAGCATACATCGCCCCTTGTTCACCATGCAGAAGCTGTGGATCGTGCGATGCCATCAGCACTGCCCTCTGTCTGCGGGGTCGCATTTGATCGTGTCTGCCTTCGCTTTCTTATTTAACTTCCTCGCTGCTCTTTCGATGGACGCTGAGCCGCAACCACAGCACGGACGTTGCACCCCACGTCCCGTCTGCCCCCGCTGCCTCGGCCTGGGAACGACCCCGGCGGCTTTTGTGTTCCGTGGGGAATCTGGGGGTTGCCCAAACTCGGGGAATGCCACCCTTGTTGATACGTGCTGCAGACGACGGCCCCGCGATGTACACATGCGTGTGCGATCGGGATGACAGGATGGGGGGGGAGGTGGGCCCTGTGGAAACCACTGCGTATGCTGTCTCGTTTTTCCTGTTTGCCTTTTGTGTTGTCACCTTCTGTTCGGGGTCATTTCGCACCACCCTCCATCTCGAGCGCGGGAGGGCCCGTGACTCTGGTCAGGGTTCCCCGGGTCCTCCCCAGAAGCCCCCCCCCAGAGGGGAGACGCGTGCACTTTGACGTGATGTGTGTGTGTGTGATTGGGGTGGCGCGTTTGTCCCCGCCGCGTGCACTCTTCGTTGGTGGTGCGGGGAGCCGGCGGTGCCGTGAGTGTGTGCGGTGTCTCCCCGTGTGCGGTGGCGGTTACCAATAGGCCGCCCACCATGGTTGGACGCTGGTTGGTGTACAGTGTATCGGAATTCGAAGGGCTGGTGTAATGAAATTGTTCATGTAAAAAAAAACATTAAAAGTTTATCATACGTTTTACACGCTGCTCGTGGCTGAGAGTGCAGAGGTGGAGTTGCGATTTACTCCTGCGAGATGTATGGGGGGGAGGGAGGGGTGAGATGGGAGGTGAGTGGAGGGTTGAAGGTGGGGAGGGGGTTTAATAATAATTTATAGAGCGCACATTTCACGACGCATTGTTCCAAACCCCAGATACGCAGAGCCAGAGCTCAAAGTACCTCCCTCGTACGCCAGCCTGAACGAGGGCGAGAGCCTTAAGCTACTGCTTGAAGCTGGGTGATGCTGGGGCAGCTCCAGAGAAACGCCACTCAGGATAGCCCTGGTTCTGAGTACAATCAGCTGGTGCTATTCTCTGGCTCGCCAGGAGAAGGCAGTACAGCAAGTTGATAAAATTCGCCTGTTTCCATCTGTGCAGGAATAGTATTGCCCCTTGCATGCGTGGGTTTTCTCCGGTTGCTCTGGTTTCCTCAAATGCATAAACGTTCATACAGTGGCTGAACACATTTAACACAAACACCCAACGCAGGACCGACCTGTTAAACAGTCCCACGACTCGGTGTGGCTCTCATGGATAAACACGTTTAACATTTTAAATGAGGGCTGGTAGCAAAGCAATGGAAGCCACATGTCCGCAACAAATGCCCAGGGCAGCGTGAGACGGGGCGCTTTGAAGCCACTGTAGGCGAGCTGTGTTTCTGATTCAAGAGCCGAATGGCTCACAGGGCTCTACCAAATAAATGAAACTGAAATAAATAAATGAAAAAACTGATGCCACAGTAAGGATGGCGTTGTTAGTAATCAAGGCGACTCCGCTGCAAGCCAGAGTGTTTGCTGTGGTGTCGGCAACATTGGGCGGATGTGCCATCCGGCCCTGAGGTCGATCAGTAGTCCATGTCTCTCTGTGACGCGGCAAAGCCCCGTGGAGCGAGTTGACCACTTCGCCAGCTCGCTCGCTCGCTCGCCACGTGCGAGCGAGATCCGTGGTGCAGGACGGGCACCGTCCACCAGGCGGCGACACGTGCACAGAGGCCGCATCCCGGAAGTGACGCCACCCCCCCCCCCCTCTCAGTCGCGTCCCCCCCGCGGAAATGACCCCTCCCCCCTGGTATCTCGCCCAACCGGAACCCCTCCCGCCGGAAGCTGCTCCCGCGGCAGTCACGCGGAACCGGAAGTTCCCCTCCCCCCGCCCCAGCCTCGCAGCGCAGTGAAGATGGCGGAGGAGACGGCGGGAACGCGGGTCCAGCCGCTCCGACAGCAGCAACAACAACAACAACACGCACCACCACCACAACCACCACAACAATCGCAGCAACCGCAGCAGCTGCAGCATGGGCCGCGCGTCGTGTGCATCGTCAAGTCGGAGACGGGCTACGGGTTTAACGTGCGCGGGCAGGTGAGCGAGGGCGGGCAGCTGCGCAGCATCAACGGGGAGCTGTACGCGCCGCTGCAGCACGTGAGCGCCGTGCTGCCGGGGGGCGCCGCCGAGCGAGCCGGGGTCCTCAAGGGGGACCGCATCCTCGCCGTGTGAGTAGTCGCCCGCGGCAGGGCGCTCCCCTCCTCGCGGCAGGGCGCTCCTGGTCACGCTCTCGGTCACAACAGCAGCACCGTCCACACTCACGCACACCGCGCTGAACACGCGAATAGCGGCACGCGATGTTGATACGGATACCAGCGGGGGCTCACCGCGTGCTCGCCGAGTGACCGGTGAGTTTCCCGCCGGTACTCTTCGCAGTACTTTACACGAACAACACGGGACACCAGCATCGGTACGCGGACGCCAACATGGACACATCAGCGCCTCCCACGCGCCAACATCGAGAGCACGGAGTCCGCATCCTCGCCATGTGACTTGTGACTCAACACGGTCGTTAAATCACCCATCGCGAATATCACGAATAGCACACACACTAGACGAATAGCACACACACTAGACCAATAACACAATAGCACGAATAGCACACACACTAGACGGATAACACAATATCACGAATAGCACACACACTAGACGGATAACACAATATCACGAATAGCACACACACTAGACGGATAACACACTAGACGAATAGCACACACACTAGACCAATAACACAATAGCACGAATAGCACACACACTAGACCAATAACACAATAGCACGAATAGCACACACACTAGACCAATAACACAATAGCACGAATAGCACACACTAGACCAATAACACAATAGCACGAATAGCACACACACTAGACGGATAACACACTAGACGAATAGCACACACACTAGGCGAATAACACAATATCACGAATAGCACACACTAGACGGATGGCACACACACTATATTACTAATAACACTGGCAGTGCACCAGCAGTACAGTGCAGCGAGGCACTATACAGTACTGTACTATTATGAACAATAACACTGGCAGTGCATTACACTCCCAACAATATACCGGCAGCAGCATCTCATACCTGGCATACCACAAATATACACAAATCATCGCACAACAACAAGAGGAGTGATGATTGCGTGTGTGGGTGTGATTATACATACGTCTGTGTGGGGAAGCGGTGGTGTAGTGGTTAGCGCACTGAACTACGAATCCGACGACCAGCGCTAATTTCCCGCTAACGACCAGCGATGAAGAATATCATAACTAGGTCCTGGGCCGCTCGGTCCACTCAACCTTCCATGAATACCTGGCGCGGTGTGTAACACATCAGTGGTGGGGAGACAAAGGCGGCTAGGCGTAGTGCTGGCCACCCACCGCTCGTGTTCCGTTTCGGGTTTCATAGGCGCTCGCTAACAGTACTTCCCCAAAAGTGTGTTAAAGCTATAGGGGGATTTATCTTGGACATTCTAAAACATAGATCTCATCATACGTACGAAGAGGGGAGTCTGATGAGGTGACACCGCCAATTCGTCACACGGCCATCGAGGATTGTGCTCGCGACACGGGCATCACGACGAACGTATTTACGAGAATGAGCTTCAGCAAATTATACATTCGCTTCTGTTGGAGTGTGCGGGGATCGGGGTCAAGACGATCGTAACAGAAGTAACGTACAGGACAAGTTCGCTTCACGTGTCAATGCAGCTGTAAGCACAGCGGAGTTTGTTTTACCTGGGGCTGTTATTGATGGGCGAACCAGAAAACGAGCGCGTCGCCTTAACGGAGTATACTGTACCTGGTGTGGGGTGTCACCATCCGCACCGGAGAGACAAAGCTGGCCGAGCGGGGTTCTGGCCACCACCCCTCATGTGCCGTTCTAGCCTCTATAGGTGCTCGCTAACAACACCTTTAAAACACACAATATTGCGGTGGGTCTTTTGTTGATGTGTATAGGTGTGTGACATGATGGTGGGTGTTGATGTTATATATGTGCGCAGAGTGGTAATGTGATGATGGTTAGCGCACTGCACTGCGAACCCGACGACCCGGGGTTCAATCCCGCTTGTGGCCAACGCCGGTTCCGATTTTTGTAATCGGCCCCTTGCCTTCCCTTAGCCGATGCAGCTGTACATTACTAGCTGTTGCTGTGTGTAAACATCATCACTGGGGAGACAAAGACGACCGAGCGTGGTGGTAGCCACACCACTGCCTCGTGCGCTATTTCGGCCTATAGAGGTGCTCGCTAACAACATTAACGGTCTGTTAACGCCATACGGGGAGGATCTTTGTTGATATATTGATTTTGTGTTGTAGCGTGCAGATGAGTGTGTGTGTATATACATCATCCTCAAAGGATGAGTTTCCATTTCAAGAGCTTGGCTCAGCTGCTGCCTCTGCTGCAGCTGATGGCTATGATGATGATGATGTCACTGCCTTGGCTGGAGCCGAGTCGGTCGGGGTGTTGCGGCGTGCCCCCCGGGGTTGGGGCCGACCCAGTCTGTGGTGGGTCCCCAGTCTGTGGTGAGACTCACTGCCTCCTCTTTCTCCTCCGTGAGACAGCATCGTGAGAGCCGGTGTGTCGCCGGCGCCCACTCCACGATTATTGAACATTGTTGTGCCACGGTGAAGGATAATTCAAGTGGACTTGGATAGGACGCGTCATGGCGAGAAGCACGACGGCCGGTAGTCGAGAATGGAAATGGAGTGACAGCCACGGAATGGAGCGCGTCTGAGAGGACGTCCACTGAGGAGATTGAGTGATAAAGCCGACTCGTGTGTGGCTCCAAAGCCAAAGTGACTTTCTGCTCAAATGAGCATTTAGGCGGTGCTCATCTCCTGATTACAGCTCAAAGCCAGTGATGGAAATTTTACTTTTCCATGACAGGTGCGAGTTTATCCATAGACATTGACCGCTGTTCACTTACACACACACACATTATTATTCCATAATTTATTAACCCAGGAGGAATTACGAGCTGAGCCAAGCCCCAGCCGATTGCGTGCAGCTCACTCTACCGCTGGCCACCTCGCCTTGTGCAGGTGTTGCGTGGACCATTGCATCGCCTTCACCCAGCATTGGATTGACCATGGCTGGCGGATGATGATGGTGATTCCACAATGATGATTCTACGAGGCTCTTGCTGTGAGAAATTCATGAGCAAGAGGCCGCCATAAATAGCGGAGGCTGAGCACTCGCTCTTTGATGTGAGGTAGGGAATGGGTCATGCGGGAGCAGTAATTCGGGACGGGGAAATCCCCACGAGGAAACTAAAGGGAGCTCTCGGCTCGCAGGAGGAGAAGGGCAGCGAGGGCAGCGTGGACATATGGGCTGGTGCTGCGGTGAGTGGCTTCTCACCAGGTCCCGTGGGGGGTGAGGAGGGCGAGTGCACACCGCCCCCTGATACTTCCGCATGCCCCTGGGCTGGGAGGTCACGTGAGACTGGGCACTGCTGATGATGATACTGGTGTTTCTGTTGCTGCTACTTTTGCTGATATCAATGCTGCCGATGTTACTACTGATTCTGCTGAGAGTGCTATTACCACCGATTCTGCTGGTAGTCTTATTGTGGATGCTGCTGCCGATACTGCTGATTCTGCTGCCAGTGATATTACCGCTGCAGCTGATGGCGCGTGGCTGGCTGGGTCGTGCACAT